GTTCCAGCCTCTGCTGCCCTGTGGGGTGTCTGCCCTCCCCCATGCTGCTACCCCTTCTCACATAATGGCTCACTCACCAGGCCCTGTGGCCCCCTCTTCTCCGACCCCTTCCTGGCATGTCCGCTCATCGCGCCTTTGGGCTTGTCTTTGCTTAACAAGTTAGCTGGAGGAAGACTATGACTACACGGCAGTAAAAACTTGCAGAGCGACTACACTGCACCTGTGTTTTTTTCGCAAGTAAATTTACAGTAAAACATCAGAAAAGAGGGCTTTTTGCGCAAGAGTTATTTCTTTCCCCACAAGGAAAAAGCCCTCTTGCGCAAGAAGGTAGTGCAGACGGGCAACAGATGCTTCTTGTGCAAGAAACCCCTATGGCTAAAATAGCCATCGGAGCTTTCTTGCGCAAGAGAGCGTCCACACTGCTATGGACGCTGTTGCACAAAAGCACATCCTTTATGCAAAAGCACATGGCAGTGTGTATGCGCTTTTGTACAAGAACACTTGTGCAAAACAGTTCTTGCGCAAGAAGCCTGCAGTATAGACGTAGCCTTAAGGTATTGCTAGGGATGTAAAATCCTGTTTTATTACTTAACCAATTAAACCTTATGCTCAATGTTCTTATGAACCTGTCCTGAACAACCATCCCCCCCCCCATACAAAAAGAAACCCACAAAAATCCCAGCACACTTATTGGTTTATGGTCATGTGTCCAAGAGCAGCTGGGATTTCAGATTGATAAAAGGGGAATCTTTAGAGACAAGCTGCTGCCTTTCAGCTGTCTTCAGTACTCTGCTGGCCTGCGAACTAGGAGTGGCTTCCTGTAGAGAAATGTAGGAAAGGGACTGCTAAGTAGAGAGCCCCACAAACCAACCTTTTGTAGCAGGAGACTCTTTCTTCACGGTGCAACAAAGGATATATTTCCTTTCAGCACAATTTGTGTTACCTCTAACTCAACTTCAGTCCATATACAAAAATCTCTAGCTCAAGTAAAGTGGTGCTTTAAATGCTAGTTAGTTGGCCCTTAATGGGACATTAGGTTGAAGTTTGAGTAATGCTGATGCTAGAGTTAGTAATGTAGTGGGATGCAATCAATTCCAGTTACAACAAAACAGCAGCTAATATGATCACTTTGCTGAACCATTTTTTCTGAGTAATTCCAGAGTCCTTATCGGATGATGTTTACCAATGATGGGCTATATCTACACAGCAGCAGTTATTTCAAAATAACGTCAAGCTGGCAGACTTCTTACTATGACTCATGTATCCCTCCTTTGACAAGGAATAAGGGAAGTCGAAGGAAGAGTGTTTTTCCTTTCACTTCTTGCTATGTAGACTGCACCAAAAGCTGAATTAAGCTATTTCGACTTCAGCTACACAATTGATGTAGCTGAAGTTGAGTATCTTAATTTGACATTTGTCCTGTTGTGTAGATGTACCCTTAGTTAACCAGTGGTGGCTAGAGCAGCCCTCCCCCCTCTTTCCCCTGCTTGCCCCCATTTAATTGGTCATAGAGGATGATCCAATATTTTATCAACAGCCATTTTTTGGATGTATGCAATCTGAAGCTAAGTGGCCCCCATGTTTTATAAGACAGCCCTACAAATAACACGGACCGAGCAAAAATTAGTGTCCTTTTTACTAGTCAACTCTAGTAAAACAGCCAGCAGTTAGGCCTTCTGGCTTTTCAGACCAATAATGGCAGGGTGGAGGGCAGAGGGGCAATAGGGAAGAGAAGGTTAAGGAAGACGTGTTGCCAATTTTTGTAATTTTATAGTGAATCTTGTAATATTCCGTCACATGCATCTGATGAAGTGGGTCTTTGCCCACAAAAGCTTATGCTCCAATAAGTAAATAAGGTGCTACAGGACTCCTTGTCACTTTTGCAGATCCAGACTAACACGGCTACCCCTCTGATATGTAATATTTGGTAGTTTTCTTAAAGCCCCAGCCACTGGAATCAAGTGATTTCATGAGTACCTCAGCTTTCATTTAGGCATGTAATAGTGTAGTTGATTAACTGATAAGCAAAAGCTTATAGGTTAATGCTATAAATTACACACATTTGCCCCCTCCCCCAGTACATTTTTTAGCAGGCTGGCCAGCAGCTCAGCTAAGTCCTGGCTCATGCCAGGTCTGGGACCTGCCCCTGCTGCAGCTCTGCATTTAAAGTGTATTAGGAGTTGGGCTGCCTGCCTGGCTCATATTAGAGGCAGCAGCATGAGGCAAATAGCAGCCAGTCCGTGAGCTCACAGACCAGCACAGGGTGGCAGGAGGCTCCTTGGGAATGGGGTCGGAGCACACTAGCTGCTGGCTCTGCCTCCAGGGACTATAGAATAGTTGACTAACCAATAAGAATTCATGAGGATACTCAACTATTCAATTCACCTATATTTAACATCCCTACTTTCATTTACATTAAAAATTCTAGTTGTATGGTTGTGGAGAAAAGCTTGAAAACGTGAAGTGAGTCCATCACAAAGGCTCAGAAAACAGAAGACAAATAAAAAGGACACAAGACTTTTTCAAATATATATATCATTTTGAGGCCAAACTCATGGATTTTGTATGCTCAGGTTGGCACAGTATTATTATTATAGACCCCATTTAGTAGGCACTGTACAAACATAGACCAAAAAGAGATTTTGTGTCTGTACTGCCAAACTTTCCAGACACATGGAAGGATGGGTGAGGAAAAAAAGAAGATGCACAGTTCACCTTTCTTAGTATGAGGAATAAAATGGAAGAAGCAGGATATGAGAAAGGAGGAGAAAGGCGTAGGCCCAGATTCTCAGAAGTGTTAGGCAACAGGCACTGAGACTGGAAATAGGCAGGAATATCATCATTAGGCTTTAAAAAAATCTAAAGTCCTCTATGTGTTATAGATGGCTTTGGTTAGAAGTAAAGCACACAATTTTATAAATTCTGTACAAAAGGATATTATCTCTTGAATACCTGGAACACGTTCTTGGATTTGTCTCAAAACTTGCGTCCAGTAGCTTGAGTTTCAATTACATGTACTGAAATATGTCTGAAGCAGAACAGGAGTCATCTAGCTAATTCTTACATGCAGCATGTCAGATAGCTTTATGTATGCAGTGAAGAATGGCTTCTATGAGACAGCTCAAATTACAATTTGGAAATTATGTCTTTTCCCTGAATTGCTTTTATCACATTAGTCCTAAAGAAAATGGCTTTCAAATGGTGCAACAAGTTATGGCTGAAGTGGAAAACTTGAAATAAGAGAATTGCTTGAAAGTTATATGGAAACATTGTAATAATTTGGCTCTTCTGATCTATTCTACTAGGGAGCCAAAATGTAAATATGATTTATGAACAATTGCTGTAATTCTGTTACAATAGCCATAGCTATAAATATGAATACTCTTTTTTTTTCTGATTGGGTAACCGCTCCCTCAATCATTATAAATCCTGGGTAAAATGGACTGGAAAGATATGATCCCTTCCCAAGAAACAGTATTTGGAACCAATAAAAGATGTAAGAAGATGATAAGATGAATAGCGAACAACCCTCTCCTTCAAAAAAAAAAAAAAATCATCAGAAAACATTCAGATTTTTAACCAGGTCTAGTTTAATATTTTCTCAAAATTTCCTTGTAAAATACTAGTGATATGATTTTATAATTGTCAGCCAGGTAAACTCAGCCTGTGCTCTGACAGTTACGGGTAAGTATTCCCGTTTTTCTGCATTAATACCAGTAGTAAGGTTCTAAAGGTCAAGTTAGGTCATCTGTTATGCAGCCTTATTATTTTCAAATTGATTCCTTCAATAATAGTGTGTAACACTATCACCTTCAGTGTGTTTCCACTGGTACATCTGATTGGAACTTTAGTAAACAACACAGTTAATAATAAACTAAACTGAACAGAATCCAGGTTACTGTTCTTTGTTTCTTTGTCTATGTTGTACTGGTTCTGCAGGGATCACAGGACTGTTTTTTGGTTAAATACTCCTTTTTGACAGTGTCTGTTCAACATGGTACTTAAATTTGTGCCTGTCTTAAGTATATGAGTTGCTTCACTGAAGTCAATAGATGGTGTACTCACATACTCATGTGTCTTGCTGAGTTGGGGCCTTTTGTTAGTAGATAAGACTGCATATATACAGGGAGCCTATCTGCTGAGTAAGAAGGTGCAATTCTAACCTGCTAATTTTTAACAATGGATCTTACAATACCCTTGGGCAGCTGAAAAGTACTAATAACCTCATTTTACAAACAGGAAAACTGCAGCATGGAGTTTATGTGATTTCCCAGGGTTATTCAGAAGGTCTCTGGCAGAACAGAGAATAGAATCCAAAACTCCTGGTTCCTATTCTACTGTCTTAAGAAAGCAATCATCTTTCCACAAGGGCTCTTGATTTTATTGGGGGTCCAAATAATATGAGGTGGACATAATACTCCAAGGTGCAAACCAGACCAATGAGGGGTATCACTCATGCTCTGCAAGGTGGTGTGCCTCACAATGCTTTACACCAGTAGCTTCCAACTTGGGCTGAGTGTCCAGCAGCTCTGACCCCAGCAGCTTGTTAACAGCACATCAGCCACACTCTTGCTTCCAGTAGCCTTGGTTACTATCTGCAGGATGATCCCAACACACTCCTAGCCTTGAATTTCCTCCTTCCCCCTAAAAAAAATGTGTTCTGCACTGTCCAGGCCTCTGGACAAGCCAGATATATAAGGTCTATTGTTCTTATAAGGATCAACATACAACAAACTGTTATGTTACATTGAGTTACCCAGACAATTCACAGCACTGGATTAGTTGCAGTTAAATAATAAAACCAGTTTATTTAGCTACAGGAAGATAGGTTTTAAGTGAGGACTAGTATAGGGCATTACAGTCAGAAGAGATTACAAGAGAAATAAAAACAAAATACATCTTAGTATTAAAACTTAACAAACTAGACTTGATTGAAAGGGAAATCCCTTATTGCATGTTTCAAATAACTTTTCTGATCAAGCTCTCAGGTCAGAATCTGTTCCCAAAGTTCAACAACTGTCTCCTTTGTCATCTTAGATGAAAAGGCAAGGGATGGATGGGGATGCCTTGAGTGTTTTTGCCCTTAATTTTAGATCAGCAATAGGCAACCTAGGCTAGTGAGTAGGCCTCATGAATGACCCTCCTTCATCTCTGTGGGCTGCAAGATTGTCATAACCAAGGTGGTCTCCCGGGATAGGTTAGTTTTGCTAACTGTGCTTGCGCACTTAGAATTTGTGGGGTATGCCGATTGAACCATAGCAGCACTTTGATTAGATGCAGAGGGAATGCACTGCACTCACAACCAATGTTATGTGCAATCAGCACACACCCTACTTCATGTTCACTTGCTTTACAAGTGTGTCTCTTTAATAATATCGGTGGGAAAAAAACGTATGTGGGCAGAAACCAGCGGAATTTGGCAACCTTGCATGCAAGCAATGGTAAACAAAATGTATCATGTCCTGTATAGTACCATGATAGGCTGCGTGAGGTTCATGGGCTGCAGACAGCCCATCACTGCTTTATATCGTCTTTTGGAAAAGCATTTTCTTGAGGGTTACTTCTAGATAACCTGTTGACTGTGTTAATTCCAACTGTGAGCCCAGAGACAGAGTCTGGAGGTGAAAAAGATTCCATGCTGTCATTTCCTAGATTGCAGATCTGTTTCTGTAACAAAGAATGGCTACTTGATGATGATTGCCCAACAACCCTAGCAGTTTACCCACTCCAGACTTGCCTAGTAAGCACACGTTAGTCATGATTTCAGCTCATGTTCATAACTTTCCACATAAACCTGCTACATGCATTTCATCATGATATTATTGACCAGTGAGTTAGTAGTTTTCAAATGATACCTCACAAGGCATATTTTGTACAAAGATTATTGTAAGTGTGTAGCGTGTGAATAAAGAGATTCATTCTGTCATAGTGGGGTATCTGGATATTCTGAACAATACAGCTAATCCCCAGTCTTGCAAAGGTTTACAACTGGGAGCAGTGAAATTTAACATATATTTACAGGATCAGGACATGGGAATATAATTAGGAAGTAGTATAATTAGTTTTATTATAGGTTTTATAATTTTACTATAAACTTACTGGGATAAATTCATCCCTGGTATAATCATTGATGTTAAACAAGAGATGAATTTGCCCCCATTGTATTCCAAATAGGTTAGTTAGAATCTGTTGAGTAAATATGACTTTTTAAATGTACCTAGGTAAATATTTATACAGTGCTTTTAGAGCCATTTAGGCAAAATTAAAAAAAAAATTGCCTTATCAACAAGAGGGTGTGCTCCACCTCTTGGGGAACACTTTTGGAGTGTTACAACTCCTGTAACACATACAAGACATGGCAAGAATTTCCTGCAAGATCTAAAGAAAGTGTTTAGTAGTGAAATAAAAGGTACCTATCAGTTACAACTGCCAAGTTCAGCAGAATGGTTCATTGTATTGAATTTCACCTCTCAATTACATTACAGTATATTATGGTGAAATTTATGGTTATGATAATGTAGCTTAAAATGACAAGTCAAGTGCTTTAAAACTCACGTTTCAGTTAAAATTGGCAGCATATAAATAGATGCTACTATTTAGTCCTCTCTAATATTTCAAAGAAAAAACAATAATGGATTTTCTGATATGGAATATGCTGCATGAATAAATGCCAGAGGGGGCTCAGTGACTCTTGCTGGACATTTTTTGACTTGCCCAGACAATGTGTCTAATTATTAAATGCCAATTTTAAAGCTTCCAGATCCCTGGATGAAAGGTTAGGTTTGTGCTTTTGTCCAACAGTTTTGTAATAGGAAACCTGGCTGTATTACTTTTATCCAGCCAATAAATAGTATTTGTTTGTAGTTATCTGCCATTTTATGTAGCATAGTTCCATACACATACACCGATCACGGCAGAAAAATCATTAGCATTGTTTTCTCTTGTGTGCAAAGCAAAATTTGTAATTTTATATAGGAACATTGGATTCATCATCACAGAGCACATCACTGGACCATGTATTCTATCATCCTGACCATGACAATAGCCTACATCACACATTTCTACAGACGTTAAAAAAAGAGAAAGAAACGTTTTGTCTATTATCATGATCACAGCTCTCAATGTTGGCAGTACAATCCTAACAGAGTTACTTGAAACAGAAAGCTACTGTCCTGAGAAGCAACGGCTCCTATGGCATTCTACACTGCCATTCAGTATTTGGAGGATGATTCTGCAATGATAGGGCTTTGGGAATTTAGAGATGCCGTTTGGATGCCCTTGCCAGGCAGACAATATGGCTGTGTCTAGATTAGCAAGTTTTTCCACAAAATCAAATGATTTTGCAGAAAAACTTGCTAGCTGTCTACACTGGCCGCTTGAATTTCCGGAAAAGCACTGACGATCTCCTGTAAAATCATCAGTGCTTTTCCGAAAATACTATGCTGCTCCCGTTCGGGCAAAGTCTTTTTCCGAAAGACTTTAGCGCAAAAGGGCCAGTGTAGACAGCATAGTACTGTTTTCTGAAAAAAGCCACGATTGCGAAAATGGCGATTGGGGCTTTTTTGCGGAAAACCGCATCTAGATTGGCCACGGACGCTTTTCCACAAAAAGTGCTTGCGGAAAAGCATTCTGCCAATCTAGACGTGCTTTTCCGAAAATGCTTTTAACGGAAAACTTTTCCGTTAAAAGCATTTTCGGAAATTCATGCCAGTCTAGACGTAGCCTATCAGTAAAATGTAGTTATGTAACTTACAGTTGTAAGACTTTCTAGACTTGAAGGTCAAAGAGGCCATCACAGTCATCTAATCTGACCTGCACATTTCAGGCCACAGACCCTCACCCACCCACTCCTGTAATGGACACCTAACCTCTGGCTGAGTTACTGGAGTCCTCAAATATGATTTAAAGACTTCAAGTTACAAATAATCTACCATTTATACTAGTTTAAACTTGGAAGTGACCCATGCCGCAGAGGAAGGTGAAAAATCCCAACATCTGTGCCAGGCTGACCCAGAACAAAATTCTAGAGATTGTGGGCAAGACCCAGCCACCTGGGAAATAATTATCTGTCATAACTTAGAGCCCCCCTCATCTAGTGCCCCATCACCAGCTGTTCTTTCATTATTTGTACACAGTAGTGCAGCTTCAACAGAGGAGACAGAGAGCCCCGCATTAATATCCCCACATCAGAGCTCAGTGATGGCAGCGTGCTCTTGACAGGTGAGAGACCCCTCTCAAAATCCTTTCTCCCTATCAAGCAAGGAGGGATGACTGAACGTGGGTTTCCTAAGTCTCAGAGGAGTGCTCCAACCACAGGCTTCAAAGTTATAAGGTGGGGCACCTGCTGCTGTAGCTTGATTTTGAATGGGACCTGATCTAGTAGGAGCCCCCACATACACCAGGCAGTTGAATGCTGGTCTTCTTCTGATTTGTGGATGACACTAGGGCTTGGAGGGAGATGGATACCCAGAAGCTTAAAGTGAATTAGCAGTATGCATACCCAGAGGCGAAAACTTAGGTGCCAAGAGTAATTTTACACTGAAAAGATAAGCATCTAAAGGAATTTAAGTGCCTATAAAGTTTGGCGGGAGTTTTGTGTAGCCAGAACTGCAATTTATGCATCTAAATCTGGGGTTGAAGTACCTATGTACTTCTGTTGAGACTTCCCAAATCTGAGTCTGAGCCATCAGGACAGGTGCACTCTTGTGGAACAAGGCAGAACACAACACTTACAACAAAGCATTTCCAGTCAATGGAATCCGCCTGTGGAATGGAGTTCCAGAAATCAGGTGAATCCAGGTTCTTGCCACTTCTTGGCAGTGCTACAAAATTTCCCTCTTCAAAAGGGAGAATACAAGCAAGCAATAGCAAGAAAGACACAATACTGACACCCTGAAGACCCATGAAATAAATATAAACTCATAACAAACAAATCCTGCCTGAGCAACCGTAACAACCATTGCTCCCCATTCTCAAACATCCAAATCAGAAGTTTTACCCCAAAAAGGGAGAAGAACCAGAAATTATATGAAGTCACATAAGGAGTTCACTTATGTGGATTTTTGTGGAAGATGCTCAAATACTATGGTGATTAGCAGCAGTATAAAATCTTTAGATGAATAGCAGAAATAGATTTTCTGGCTTTCATTGTATTCTGCTTCTGAGACACAATAGAAGCTCGGTAATTTTTTGGTGCTGTTTGTCTCTGGTGTTATGGTGTAGAACCCACACTCCTTTTTCTATTTAGAAAAGCTGGGACTATAACATATTACCTTATTGCAAACAATCATGGGCTGTTTATATGGGATATCATAAGACTCAATTCTAATTCTTCAATTCTTTCAATTTTAATGAAAGAACACCTAGAGTAGGCTCCCTGCCTTGTATGCAAACTTTCTATGGGTACGTCTAGACTACCGCGTTTTGTCGACGGAAGTTTTGTCGACAGATACTGTCGACAAAACTTCCGTCGACAATTTGCGTCCAGACACATGGAGTTCTGTCGACAAAGCAAGCTGCTTTGTCGACAGAACTCCGTAGTCTGGACGCAGTGTTACAGGCAATAACACCTTCTGTCGACAGAGTTCTGTCGACAGAAGGTGTTATGCCTCGTAAAATAAGGTATACCAGTGTCGACAAAACGGCGGAGTTCTGTCGACGTTATGTCAACAGAACTCCGCGGTAGTGTAGATGCTGGTATTGTTTTGTTGACAAAAGTCCACTTTTGTCGACAAAACTAGTTAGTCTAGACACACCCTAAATCACATTTTAAGGCATCTCACTCCCCATTCAGTGTACCGGGAACCAAAGCACCCAACTTGGTTTTGCGACTCACAGTCTTGCTCTTGAATATTAGATGCCTAAAAGATAGGCAGGGAGATGCTCAGCCTCAGCCCTTTTATGAATCCCACTCATGGTTTTTAAAACAGCTGGAATCTGATTCCGTTTGTTCATAGAGTAGGACCAACGTCATAAACTGGTATCTGAAACAGAGTTAATACAGATTTAAATACACTGAGTCCCAGTAATCCAGTCTAGAGGTGACAAGTGCATGGACCACTGATCTGGTTCTTGTCCAAGAGGAAGGGGCAAAGGAACAGAGGGAGCTAGAAGTGAAAGAAGAGGTTTCCAACATTCTCGCTCACCTGCTCATCTAAGCTTAGAGGAATCAGATAAGGCCCCAAACCCTTTGCACCTCTGACAAAATATGGCAGGATGCTTTCATGGGGAGTGGGACATTATGCTGGTTGCTCTTCAAAGAGTGTTCTCTTTCCACTCTAGGTAGAAATGAGGCCATTAGCAAAATGGAGGGAGAAAAACCATCTTCATAGTCAAAAGGAAATTATGAAAGAGGCAGTATATCTATATCCAAACTATACATTCCCTTCTTAGAAAAGGAAAGAATGATCCTTGCTATAATTTCTTTTATTTTTCTGATAAAAGGAAATATTAATAAATATCAAAGTTTTGGAAGTTGACAGAGCCAACAATAGGAAGAAGAAATCTGATGGAATTTTTTTGGACACAATTAGTGGATCCAAGGAATGCAACAGATGATACATTTGGAGTCGATTAAAACAGTTCAAAGGTTTTCTGACAAAGTCAAAGACCAATGGAAGATCATGTAAATTGCTTTTTTTTTTTAAATGTATGGTGCAATTTTCATTTTTTTATATAAAAATTTATCAAATAAACCACATCTATGGGTAAACACTTTTTATTAAAAATACATATTTTTTGTTTTACATAAAATAACCTCCACCATAATTAAACATTACTGAAAGTCAGACTGGAATTCTAGTTGGAAAAATACAAGATTTTCATAAACAAAGAGAAGTACAGCACATCACTCAATCATTTTAACTTGGCACATGTTTTGCAACTCACGTTAATATTCCTTATTAGATAATCGTGCAGTACTCTTATGAACTAAACGTGATGCAACATAATATCTTTAAACAGAGATGGCCTGTATTGAAACCCGATCTGAAACACACAAACTTTGGGATACACAAGCATCACAGCTCAGGCCTCTCTCAGCGTTTAAGAAAGATGCTATTTTCAAAACAAGGTTTCATTAGCAGTTTATGCTAATAAGGCCTTTCATGCAGAAAATCTAATTCAAAATCCAAAACTTCTGCCAAAAACCAAAAAATCCACCAGTTTTACCTCTATGGAACACAATACCAGATGCATTTGCTTTCCATTGAAAAACCTCTTTACAGAATAAGAACCTTATTAGATGGTGTTGAACTCTTACAGAAGCTGTCCACCCTCAATTCTTTGTCAAGTCAATAGGAGTTGCAGGTAATAAGAAAGCATGTGGGACCTTGAAGTTCAGGCTCTAGAGGCAGAAAAGACATTGGCCATGGTTGAGGAATGTTTACTGGCAAACTCAGATCATTCAGGCTTTATTTACACTGCACTGTAGTTCGAAATAAGATACGCAATTTGACCTACGCAAATTGTGTATCTTATTTTGATCTTATTTCAAAATAGCTTATGTTATAATTATGCTTATGTCTACACAGCACCAAATTTCAAAATAGAGCACTATTCTGAAATGTCCTTTGTTCCTTGTGGAATGCGATTTACAGGGACATTGGAATAGCGAGCCTGAAATAACAGGCTTGCTGTTAAGACACGGGATAGCTATTTTGGGATACTGCAGTATCCCGGAATAGCGTTGCAGTATAGATGTAGCCTCAGGAGTAAGGTAGAGGGTAGGCTTCCAACCAGTTTTTCCCTTGCTATAGTGACTCAGACTAAACAGATGGCAGCATGAATAGCCAAAACAAAAATTACAGTCATCTTTGGAAAGATCATAAGGCATAGTTCCACTCTCAAAAAAAACTGTGTAGGAATGGCTCAGTGGAATTCTTGTGTATTGTGATGCCATATAAAATGTTTGCTAGTTAAAAGTAAAATGATAGCTATTCTAACTCCCTGCTTGCAGACTTAATCTGGGGTCTAAGAGGAAAGGTTGTAGTACTCCTCAATGCACTACCGCTTGAAATAAAGTTCCTGGGAGGGTATCAGTTGCCCTGTGCAATAGTTATTACTAGTGCTACTACACAGGAAAAAATGAGCCCAACTTGACTCTCAAATCCCAGGTTATGTTTACAAGGCAAGGAATTAGAAACAACTCCCCCTCCCCCAATTTATAAACTGCAAAGGGAGCAAATTTGCTTTGGAGTTAATGACACACAAATATACAGGAAACGCCACAGTTTCACTAATACAAAGTCACTTTTCAGACTGGAACCACAGTTCAAACATGAAAGGATTTGAACCGATCAGAAATACACAGTCAGAAATGTCTGTATGGAGAATATTGCACTTCACTGTGTGAGGCCAGGATTTTCAGATGCAACTAGTGATTTTCAAATACAGAAACCTTGATTTTTCATTGGGTGTGTGCTAGTACTTCATGAACAGGAAGAGTCATTTAACATTTCTCAAATTAGGGTCCTTTAAAAAAAATCTTAAGCTACATGTCTACTTTTGGGCAACTAGGGAATCTCATTTTAGGGGGATGGTAACTTCTCGTCAAAAGGGAGTATAGAAACTAACTTGAGTTTAAAAAAATAGTTGAAGAGGGAAGAGATACTGAAACCAAGGGCCAGAAAGATGAAATACTAATTTGTAAATAAATAAGACATATCCTGAAAAGTCCGATAAACTCTGCTTAAAAAAAATCCTATTTACATTGTCTCTAAAAATACAGAAGCTTGTTTTCATTAATATATAAACATGACATCCAGAACGATTAATCTTTCCCCACAGGGTTACAATCTGATTCCCAAAGAGGCCTGTTTATAATAAGCAAACTGCGTTGAATTTTCTGTAAAACTGTTCAAGGTTTATGGAATACATTTGAAAACTGGAGGACATTCCTCTCCAGAACAGAATAATGCTAATGCAATTTTCCTGTTAGGTCTGTTCTACTTGACGGCCTTTATAATGCAGTATTCAAATTTTAAACAAAAGTGTTTAAATTACAAGTCATATTTTTACATAAAACATAAAATGGAAAAATCTAATGAGATTCATAATTGACCAAAATCTACTGAATGGAATGAAAATGCAGTGAAGAAGAGCAGGGAAAAATTGCAATTTCTGAGATTTAGCAATAGGAGCAAGGACCATTAGTTGGACTGATTTTTTAAATAATCTCTGATTTTTACTTTGAGATTAAAGATAATTTGACCCTAAGATTGCATTTCAAGTACATTAGCAGATGGGCTTTGTTTACGGATAGTGGAAAACAAAGAACATTGTAACAAGACTGACTTAGTTTGTCAAATACTGTTTTCACAGATCATATCCAAAACTATATGCAAGGTTTTGAAGCCCATTTCCTACTCATCTTCCTGCTCCAACGAGCAGATCATATTCTTTTGAGTTTGCCATCCTGCAATGGAAACTGCATCCCACAAAAAGATCTATTGTCCTTAATACATGGTGGATTGGGTCTATTTATATTATTCTTATTGCAGGATGGGAACCTAGGAATAGCTCATCAAATCAGTAAAGAAGTTGAAAACGCCTTTGGTTTGAATAAGCAGGAGGAGTGGACGTACTAAAAAGTCTCTGTAAAATGATTTTTTGACCAGTGATATGTCATTACAGCATTAGCAGCAGTCAATATTTTCCAGCAGTAAATTCAAAGAAGAGGAGATTGGTCAGAAATACTTTAAAAAGTAACAGACTTAAAATATTATGGACCCAATTCTCTACAGTCTTCCACCTTGTACAGTCTGATTTGGGAATATATTACACCCACTTTGCAGTGGTATAAACAATTAAACGTGGGGCAAAGCAGCAGAGAATCAGGCCTGCAATTTCCCAGGTTTGAGCCAGAATAAACATTTGACTTTTGAAACATGGTTTGTTTTCTTTAAGAAGCATGTGTTACTACAGGAATGTCAATTTCAATGGCGGAGAGCCGAGATCTTGCAGAATAGGGCTGGGAGGAATAGCTGTGCATACTGGAAGAATGGGAATAGAGGGGCTGCCAGAATGGGGACGGTAAGGTTTTGCATGCACAATACCACAGAAATAACAGAACTGAAGTGAAAAACAGGCCTCCTGCACTGGCAATGGTAATATACACTGAAATATCAAAAGTAAAAACTGGCTCATATTTTTTGTTTAGGTAGTTGTTATAAAAAATTACCCAGATTGCTGGTGTGAGACAAATGGCACATGCAAGTAGAAACAACAGACCAGCCACAAGGTGGCAGCCTGGACTATTTACAAGACATTTAGCAAGTTTGATGTTCGGTACACTTGACACAAAGGCGGTATTACACATGCCGATCAAACACAGCAGCAGAGCCGAGACAGCAGTTAGCATGCTACAGGGGAGCGCAAACTGGAGCACCCGTAAATCCAGCTGATCGACTGCTGTGTACCACTCTGTGTCATATATCACACAGTCTTTGCTTCCATCAAAGCGTGCACACTTAATCCAGAGTCCAGTGTAAACAGTCAGATTCTTTTCATTTTTATTGAAGGTGTGCAGTCTCATCAGTCTCCAGTTAGGCAGTAAAACCGCAGCAAAGAGTCCTGCTACTGAGGCTGTTCCACTGAGGAAGGCCAGTACTGTCGCTGCATGAACATCCCGGCAGCCCATCCTGGCCCACAGAAAACACTCCCTGTGATAAAAAGAGATGGATTCAGAAGGGAAGAATCTTAAAAGGAACATTTTAACATAGCAGGAAAGAAAACCCCAGGACTTACTGCTCTGTGGCCATGCACTCACTTTGTGGAATCATTTATACTAGTGTAGAAGGAATGCAAAGTTGGTGTAAAAGACTACTATTTTGATTCAGTAGATTTTTACATACACATTGCCCAGGCCCAAATGTTGACATGAAGTGCAAGGCAATGGAGACTGAGACTTTGATATATTAGCAGTAAAATTTTTTTCAAGAATTAAATTATTAACAATCCTTCCTTAAAACTCACTTCTTCTATATCTCAATGTTAGCCCCCTGAATAACCAAACCAACAAGAACTCCACCAAGCAGATAACTCCAGAGAGCTGTGCTGCCAAACAGTGATAACCCTTTCCTATTAGGGCTTGGAATCTGATTTTAGTGTGTAGACTAATGCCATGTCTACACTAGGAAATTATTTTGAATTTACTAAATTCGACTTATGGATGCTCATGTTAAATTTAGATTAACTGGCTAATCGAATAGTCGATGCAATTTGCATCGACTATTCGATTAGATGATAAGGGCACCTCTGCCTTTGAAGTGTAGCAACAGCCCAGGGCTTAGTGGAATTCGTGGAAATGCAGATGGTAAACAGGATACAAGTTCTCTCACATGAAGCAATTAATTCTGAAGTAATTTTATCATCATCTTCCTGGTGTGCAAGAATTAGAATAGACAAATTATATCAAGATTCTCAGAGGGGTAGCCATATTAGTCTGTAACTTTAGAAACAACTTTAAGTTGTATATCAAGATTCCTGAGATATGTTTTGAGAAACAGCTAACAATGTCTTTGCTGGATATGTGCCTCATATGCTACCTTAATACAAATTGCAGCTACTTGTGGATGTTACAAGGAACACACTTTCTGGGGTAAACACACTGGCTGTGTCTAGACTGGCATGATTTTGCAGAAATACTTTTAACGGAAAAGTTTTTCCGTTAAAAGTATTTCCGCAAAAGAGTGTCTAGATTGGCAAGGATGCTTTTGCGCAAAAAGTGCTTTTGCGCAAAAGCATCCGTGGCCAGTCTAGACGCGATTTTGCGCAAGAAAACCCCGATCGCCATTTTAGCCATCAGGGTTTTTTTGTGCAAAACAATTCTTCTCTGTCTACACCGGCCCTCTTGCGCAACTATTCTTGCGCAAGAGGGCTTTTTCCCCGAGCGGGAGCATGAAAGTATTTGCGCAAGAAGCACTGATTTTATACATTACAAAGTCAGTGCTATTGAACAAATTCAAGCGGACAGTATAGACAGCTGGCAAGTCTTTGCGCAAAAGCAAATGCTTTTGCACAAAATCTTGCCAGTCTAGACGCACCCAACCTCTTATCCATTCATACTTCTATTCATATGCTAATGATGATGTTAAAGGAAACAGTGACACAATAGTTATTTCCAACTCTGCTGTGGCCACAATAACACCACACACACATACACATTAGAGCCCCTCTAAGGGTCTACTGTGCCTGCAAAACAGCATTCAGCTACTATGGAAAGTAGCTTTAGGAAAAGCCATCAGCTAAACTAGATAGATGCCCAGGGCAACGAGTTCTGATGTAGTTACAAAACACCTTTCCTATTGGTACTGCAGGTGGTGGAAAAGGGGAATAAGAGGATTTTGGCATCTGAAGACAGGGTGATTGGGAACAGGTTTGGAAATATGCGGTATCATGGCATTAGAGGCAAGTGACTAATTGACTTTACAGGCACTCTTCTCCTTATTACCTGCACACTCTCTCCCAAGTCCCCAACAACAAACCACTGATATGTCCTTTGGGCCTCACTATAAAACCTTCCCTGCATAGGAGCTGCTCCAGGACCTGCTGAAATCAGAGGAAAGATTTCTATTGACTTCAGTGGGAGCTGGGACAGGCCTTATAGATTAATGCAGGGCCCAGCTTCACCCAGAGCCAGCACTGCTTAGTTTGACTCTTAATGGAGTGTGGGGCTCTCCAACTCTGAGAACAGAGAGCACTGAGCATTTTCCTCATTGTCCTTTATAGCAGAAAGGACAAAGACTGGCCAGTCTTTTGGGTGAGATGTAAGACCGAGGGCCGGACCATTTGTTGTCATTCATGCTCCCCTATCCCTGTTCACATTTGGAAGGTTGCTAGCTAAAACATGGCACCAATTTTTCAATCGAGGTACCTACACTTTAGCGTCTTGTGATTTCAACTGAACACAGTCCTTTCCCTCCCACCTTCCTGTCCTTAATTGTGGTGTTGCTATGAACGGCAGAATGTGAGCTTTGGGATCCACGTTGCTATACAAATTTTCTTTGCTAAACAGGCACTGTCAGCCATCCTCTCAACTCTGTGGGTGGTCTCTCTTATACTATGTGCAGCAGAAGCTCAAACTTCTGTTCTTCAGATTATTACACTGTATTTCTCACAACAGTATCTGAACTAGCTGCATTGCAATGAGTAACATGACTAGGCTCTGTCACCTGCTATAGTTCTGCAGCTGAGGAGAGGTCTCCAGGATTCTCAATCTGCACTTTTGCATGAAGGCTACACAATTTATTCAAAAACCTTACCGTGGGGGAAAATATCCAGAACAGAAATGACTTTATTCTTCATATGATCGAATATTCAGGCAGGACAAATATTGACAGCACACAGAGAATTTACTGTCACAGAGTGACCAAGGGCGGAGTTTCGGGATGGTAGTGGAGGCAGCAACCATGCACTCTGGGATATAGCTTGCTTTACATCCCATTTCCTGGACTATTAGGGATTGAAGGGAAAGTACTGCATTCTGTGAGAAGCATTCATGGACTTCAAGTACTTTCCCCTCACTCCCTGATAGTCTGGGAAATGAGATGAAAAGCAAGCCGCACACGGGAGTGCATGGCTGCTGCCCCCACGCCGTTCTGAAACTATGCCCTTGAGAGTGACTTACCCAAACTTTCTCAAATTGGATTGCTCACAGCCTTTCTTCTGGCTCTCCAACAATAGGGGAAGAAATATGGTCTTATGTTTAGAACAGGAGCAGAAACTGAGGTACATGGACTCCCATCCTGGCTATCATATCAATAATATGCACTTCTGTATCTGCTGCCCCCACGCCGTTCTGAAACTATGCCCTTGAGAGTGACTTACCCAAACTTTCTCAAATTGGATTGCTCACAGCCTTTCTTCTGGCTCTCCAACAATAGGGGAAGAAATATGGTCTTATGTTTAGAACAGGAGCAGAAACTGAGGTACATGGACTCCCATCCTGGCTATCATATCAATAATATGCACTTCTGTATGCAGATAATGGTAGGCATGGTAGAAAGAGGCTGATTTTTTCCCTCTCTTTATGGAGGTACAGTTAAACCACTCAGATAAGGAAGTAATGCTCCCCCGCCTCCTCCTTCTGTTCTGCAATGTGATTTGTCCTTTTCATATTTGTTCATTTTTTTAAATTGTATCCTTTGGTATATATGGTTGTGACTACTTTCTTCCACTATTTGATCTGAGGAAGTGGGTCTGGCCCACGAAAGCTCATCATCTAATAAACCATCTTGTTAGTCTTTAAAGTGCTACATTGTCCTGCATTTTGCTTCAACTACCCCAGACTAACACGGCTACATTTCTATCACTATTCTACATGCAAGGCACTACATTTAGCCGTTTGGAATGGAAATCCATCAACCATATGAAGAAACTCGCACAGATACAGACAGACATCATCTTTCTATCCAAGTGCAAGAAAATGGACATCGTACCCAAAGGACTGAAAGTGAACAATCCACTAAGATCAACATACTTCACTGACTACAGTGAAAGACTCTGCCTCACACTATCCAAGAAATTAAGAAACCACCTGATAAGTATTTTATACAAGAAACAGAAAACCATCAAGAATGACATTTCTAACTTAGATCGTCTCATCTCAAGACAAACATCCACACCGACTGACACCTTGCAAGACTTTTGTTCCACCAGACAAGAAATCTACTATACACACTTCTATTCCCTACAACAAAGAAAAGACAATAAATTTTCTAACCTGCTCCATACCACTGGCTACAACAGCAACTGCCTCAACCCACCGGATAATATTGTTAACCTCTCCAGCTACAAACTCAATCCAGCAGAAGAGTCTGTCTTGTCCCGGGGTCTCTCTTTCTGCCCCACGTCCCCCACAAACTGGATACAATTTTGTGGTGACCTTGAGGCTTTTTTTCGCCGCCTCCGTCTCCGAGAATATTTCCAAACCACCACTGAACATCAATCTGACCTACCAGATCCCCCCTACCAACACCAAAGGAAAAATAATTCTATATGGACTCCCCCTGACGGTCGGAATTACAATCTGGATTTCTATATACACAGCTTCCGCAACAACGCACAGACTGACATTATTCGCAAACGACAACAAGCGACACACAATCTTAGCCGCGCTGAACACCATGCCATCCAGAGTCTCAAAAACAACCTGGACATTGTAATCAAACCAGCTGACAAAGGGGGTGCTGTGGTCATTATGAATAAGGCCGACTATAACCAGGAGGCAACCAGACAACTCTCGAACACCACATTTTACAAACCTCTCCCCTCTGATCCCACCTTGGACTACCAAAAGAAACTACACTGTCTCCTTAAAAGCCTCCCCACAGCTACTCGGGAACAAATCCTCACAGAATCACCTTCTGACCCCCGACCAGGATTGTTCTATCTACTTCCCAAGATCCATAAACCTGGGCACCCCGGACGTCCCATCATCTCTGGTATTGGCACGCTCACTACTGGTCTATCCAGCTATGTAGACACTCTTCTCAAACCCTTCGTAACCAATACCCCCAGCTATCTCCGAGACACTACTGACTTCCTAAGGAAACTACAAAACATCGATAACCTCCCCAATAATACCATCCTTGCCACCATGGATGTAGAAGCTCTATATACCAACATCCCACATGAAGACGGATTACAAGCAATTAGAAACACTATCCCAGAGGACACTACTGCCAACCTGATAGCAGACCTATGTAACTTTGTTCTCACCCACAATTATTTCCGGTTTGAGAACAACTTATACCTCCAGATCAGCGGCACAGCCATGGGTACACGCATGGCCCCACAGTATGCTAACATCTTTATGGCTGACCTAGAACAACGTTTCCTCAACTCCCGTCCCCTTTCACCCCTCCTCTACCTACGGTACATCGATGACATCTTTATGATCTGGACACATGGCCAAGAAACACTGGAGATATTCCACAGAGATTTCAACAACCTACACCCCACCATCAACCTCAGCCTGGACCATTCTACACGAGAGATCCACTTCCTGGACACCACCGTACAAATCAACAATGGAAAATTAGACACCACTCTCTACAGAAAACCCACTGACTCATACAGTTACCTACATGCATCCAGCTCCCATCCAGAACACACCACACGATCCATCGTCTATAGCCAAGCCCTTCGATACAACCGCATCTGCTCTAACCCCACTGACAGAGACCAGAAGCTTCAGGATCTCTACCAAGCATTTATAAATCTCAACTACCCACCCAGAGAAACAAAAAAGCAAATTGAAAGAGCCAGACGAATACCTAGAAACCATCTACTTCAAGACAGACCCAAGAAAACCAACAATAGAACACCACTTGTCATCACCTACAACCCCCAACTTAAACCTGTCCAACACATTATCAATAAACTACAGCCTATATTGGAACAGGATACCATACTCAAAGAGGCTCTGGGAGACAGACCCATAGTCTCCTATAGACAACCACCTAACCTCAAGATGATTCTTACCAACCACCACAGGACATACCACACTAATACCAACCCTGGTACCTTCCCTTGCAACAAACCCCGTTGCCAGCTTTGTCCACATATTCATTCTGCTGATACCATTATTGGACCTAACCAAGTGAGTTATAAGATCAAGAACACATATTCCTGCGCATCCAGAAATATAATCTACGCTATCATGTGCCGAAAGTGTCCGTCTGCTATGTACATTGGACAAACATCTCAGACACTTCGCCAAAGGATTAATGCCCACAAAACAGATATCAGACAAGATCACAAAGAGAAAACAGTTTCTTGCCACTTTAACCAGAAAGGACACTCTCTAAATGACTTAGCCACCTGCATTCTGCTACAAAGACCTTTTACATCTGCACTTGAAAGGGAATCCTCTGAACTGTCATTCATGTTAAAATTCGACACTTTCCAACAAGGACTTAGTTCAAATGTTTGTTATCTCACCCATTACCAAGATAGTTTCCCCAATTATCACCTCTAATACCATTAACTCACAAACATCCCACTCTCCCTACCTTTAATATCAGCAATTCACAGACACTTACCTTCCTTCCTCCCCCTCCCCCACCCCGCATCTCCCTTCTGTTCTGCAATGTGATTTGTCCTTTTCATATTTGTTCTTTTTTTTAATTGTATCCTTTGGTATATATGGTTGTGACTATTTTCTTCCACTATTTGATCTGAGGAAGTGGGTCTGGCCCACGAAAGCTCATCATCTAATAAACCATCTTGTTAGTCTTTAAAGTGCTACATTGTCCTGCATTTTGGTTCTTTCTCTGGTTACTAAAGACCACTTCTCTCCTTCACTTTGTGGGGTCCGGCAGTCATCTCTAATCACAGACAATGGCAGTTCACGCTATGTAACAAATATTGCTCGGCAGGATGTGGCTTCAATTACTAATACGGTCCAGAGGTGAGCTGCTTGCACAAGAACTGCTAAAACATACTTACCAAAAAGTGTATCAAATATGGAGAAACCCTGGCGGCTCTTGAGAGCAGTAAAGACGTGCTGTTCAATCTAGAAAAGAGAACAATGTGAGGAAACAGCCAATTGTACTTTTCTTTCATGGAATTCCAGCTGCAGCATTAATACGGAAATTCTGAAATGGCTGCAAGCAGGGAAGTGCCAACCCTGCTCCAATACGTACTTGGCGTATAGTGCAAACTATCTTCTTGGGATTTGCCTTTATTGCTAACTTAAATAAAATAACATAGGGCCTAAGATTTCTCCTGGTCCCTTACAGAACCACCCATGTCTCTACCCCTTCCTTCTTTGAGCCAAGGATAATTAATCCCCTGCCTGGCCTCACAGTGCCTCAGCAGAAGAGACCTGTGTTGCTGGGGAAGTTCCCAGACCCTGTTACAAGGAACGTAGAATCTGAACATCTCTGTAACGTAAGAATGGCCATACTGGGTGAGATCAAAGGTCCATCTAGCTCAGTATCTTGTTTTCTGGCAGTGGCCCCAGATGCCCCAGAGAGAGAATGAACACAATGCCCCAGATGCCCCAGAGAGAGAATGAACGCAATAGGTAATCAAGTGATCCCTCTCCTGTCACCCATTTCCAGCCTCTGACAAACAGAGGCTAGGGACACCATTCCTACCCATCCTGGCTAATAAGTATTGATGGACCAAATCTGAATGAATTGACCTAGTTCTTTTTTGAACCCTGTTAAAGTCCTGGTCTTCACAACATCCTCTGGCAAGGAGTTCCACAGGTTGACTGTGTGCTGCGTGAAGAAAAAATTCTTATTATTTGTTACCTATTAATTAAATTTGGTAACCTCTAGTTCTTATATTATCGGAACTAGGGATGTTAAATTGCGTTTAATCAGCTAATTGATTAGTCGATAAAATTTCCATCAACTACTTGATTAATTGATAAAGGGGGAAACTGCAGAGGGCAAACTGACAACTCTTAATACATTAATACAGATGGTTCTTAATACAAGAGCAGAGGCGCAGTGTCTGGGACCGGGCGCTAGCTGGCAATCAGCTGTCTCAGTTTGCGCCTGGTCCTAGATGCTGCAGCTGGTGGCTCTTAATACATTTAAAAAGTAGAGGCACAGTGTCTGGGACTGGGCACGAGCCAGGACAGCTGATTCCCAGCTCGCGCCCGGTCCCCTCGCTGTCCTCTGCCTCTCCTGCCCCCACCCCGCAGAGATGGTGCTGGGGAGAACCGGCTTTTAAGCCAGCTTCCCACAGCACTGGCTCGTGCTCCCCTCCCCCTTGCTGCCTTTCTCTGATAGAGGTAGCAGGGGTGGGGAAGCAACTAGTCCAGTCACTACTTGACTACTGAATCAGCATATGCTAATCAGGTAGTCGACTAGTCACTTACATCCCCAATGGGAACTAGTAAATAACTTTTTCTTATTGACTTTCTCCATACCTGTCATGATTTTATAGGCCTCTATCATCCCCCTTAAGTCTCCTCTTTTTTATATGGCACCTGTTCCAAACCCCTAATAATTTTTGTTGCCCTTTTCTGAATCTTTTTCAAATGTCAGTATATATTTTTGGAGATGAGGCACCCACATCTGCACGCAGTATTCAAGATGTGGGCGTACCATGGATTTATACAGAAGCAGTAAGATAGTCTCTGTCTTATTCTGTATCACTTTTTAAACGATTCCTAAAATTCTGTGCTTTTTTCACTGCTGCTGCACATTCAGTGGTTGTTTTCAGAGAACTATCCACAATGACTCCAATATCTTTCTCTTGAGTGGTTATAGCTAAATTAGTCCCAATCATTGTGTGTGTATAGTTGGGATTATTTTTTTCCCCAATGTGCATTACTTTGCATTTATCAACATTAAAATTAATTTGACATTTTGTTGCCCAATCACCTAGTTTTGTGAGAGCCTTTTGAAGCTCTTCATAGTCCACTTTGGTCTTAACTGTTTTGAGCAGTTTAGTATCATCTGCAAATTTTGCCACCTAATCATTTATCCCTTTCCCCAGATAATTTAGTTTACTCACTGATTCTATAGTCCTTAGGGATGGTGCTAGCATCCAGTGCAATCCAGCCCCTCTTCTGAGGAGCACCCTGCCACACTGCGCTGCTGCCTCTGAATCTCAGGATGCCAGGCAGGAGCTGGTCCATGAGGGGAGCCAGTTTAAAAATCAGCTCCCCTTGCAGAGTGGCTGCCTGTCACCCTGTGCTACTGCTTCTGATACAGGGGTGACAGCAGTCCGCCTGGGGGTGGGGCAATCTCTTGGATCAGGCGTGAGCCGGAACTGAGCCAGGCTGCCTGCCCGCCTACCTTCTAATACAGGCCATCCTTGCCTTGGAATTATGGCGAAACAACTTAAAGTGGGGAATTTTTTTCCTGAGGCTGACTTCCATTTGTACAGTTTTTTTTTGTGTGACTTAAAAGTGGGGAATGGGAGGACTTATAATGCATTAGTTCCTACAAGCGTCAATGACTTTAGTGCAGATGGATGTATATCGGGGTGATTTATAGCAGGGACACCCTGTAATACTTTAAGCGCAGAACCACAGCCAGGGTAAGTCCTGGACCCGTTGCAAGCTGGGATGGCCAGCCTGCTAAAAAATTTACTGGTGGGGGGAGGAGGGGAAGTGTATCATCTATAGCATTAATCTATAAGCTTTTGCTTATTGGTTTATCAACTACAATATTAAATCCCTAGTCCCAGTACTGACCCTTGGGGGATGCCACTAGTTACCTCTCTCCATTCTGAAAACTGAATGATCAATAAATTTTAAGTTGCTATGCTGTTTCAGCGGCTGGTTCCTAGTTTGAATTTAGCCCGTCAGGGCTTAGAGTCACTGAGGACAACAAGAATCTAAAAGAATATGCACAAATTTTCCTATCTATCTTTGGGGATTTCTCCCTCTTCCAAATCTATGGGATTTCTCTGGGTGAAAGGGCATAAATGAAGTGGGAAGAGGAAGGAGAACTGATTTTTAGGAGAGCTGGTAAAATATATTGGCTAGTCATGTGTAGGTATTATCTCTATCCTGAACTCTAGAGGTCCTCCAACTTTTTCATTCCATAGACCACAACAGAAGAGAAAGATCCTCCCATGGACTTTCCTTACCTCATCGCCAGCATCCTCCCGCAGGAAAGTCCGTGAGAGGATCTTTCTCTTCTATTGAGGTCTGTGGAATGAAAAAGTTGGAGAACCTCTGGAGTTCAGGATAGAGATAATACCTACACATGACTAGCCAATACATTCTACCAGGCTCATTGGTTAACCATGTACACAGTTACACTTTCACATCCCTAGCAGAAACCTGTGGCTATAAAGCGGATACCCACAAATTTGCAGGGCTCTACAGATGCATTATTCAATTAATAGTATATAATCTGCTCAATTCCCAAGTCCTATCTCCATAGTTATTCACCCAGGATGTCTGCATTTTCTTAGTAGGATACATTATGTCTATGCATCACAGAATTGCTAAAAGAGGAAAAGATAAAACTACACAGCCCCAACTTTTGCAAAAGCTTATAAACAAATCACATTCAGAGAAGCTTAATACAATACAGATTTAGAGAGAGAGAGAGAGACCTAAAATTAGTAGATTTCAAGAAAAGTCTTTACAACATTTTCAAGATTGTGGTAAGTGTAATTATTATACTAGTTGAACCCAAAATTGCATTGAGTTATGGCTAAAAATACAGCAAGCACACTAGTTCACTAGCCCACAGACCTTTCATTAATGCTAGAATACATTAGAGTGATATTTAACAACCGTACCTACCATCTCATTTACCAAAACAATTTATTTTACAAACTAAAAGTCAACAAGATTAAGAAACCTGGAATCTTGCAATATGGCTCTACCGAGAGCCCAGGCTAAACTTGAGCATATTTGGAGTATACCAAAGCAAATGCAAGTGCCTCTTGTGACTAATGAAAAGACGAAGGAACTGTTGTCAAACAGCCTACGACCAACCCCTACAAATGGCAGCCCTGCGTGGGTTAGAATGTGAATCAGGACATAATTATCATCAAAACCATTTCACTCTGATTCTTAGCCCCCGCATTCTAATGACACTTGAACACGAACACCGAATACTAAGGAAAGAGCTCGATTCTCTCAGGCGCTCTAGAAAACTGAGCGCTCATTCCATGCTATAGAAATATACATACATCAGTCCTGCGCTGCTTCTCTACCCCCTGCAGCTATGCAATGGTGGGTTTTCACCACCTCTCCACACTGAAATCCACGCCATCCTGAAGGGAAAAGGCTAAAAAGCAGTACAGGGCAATGGCTGTACAACAACAACATTCCTAAGCACATACCCCTTTCCTAGGCACGCAGCTCTTAATTCGCAAACACTGCGCTGTGGTGGCTGGTGTTGCTGCTATTCCCTTCTCAGTCTTTCAGGAAGTCGTGGCCTTTCCCAGAAGTGCTCAAAGGCTTCTGGGATTGTAGTCCTGCTTCTCCCCGATATATCATTTATCTTGGTTTCCAAGACTACAATTCCCAGGATTCCCTCTTGGAAATATTTCCTATGCAACATCCTTCAAAATCGGCTCCTGCAGCTTATTTCTGCTATGCCAATGTGGTGTTAATGTAGTCAAGCCCTGCAGTCAATCACCATCTTTTGCTAACAGGCAAGGGCTCTAACAGGCAGACAAAACACACTGACTGGAACACATACCTATGCAAATGTTAATTATATAACTATAAATGCTTCTCAGAGTTCCTTGTCAGTATCACTAACCTCCAAAATAAAAAAATAATGAAATATGTCTCCCAAAATTATGAGACTGGTTTTAAAATAATCAGATGTAAAATAATAATAAATAATAATAATAATAAAAAATTGGGAGAGGGCTTTCTTATTTGTCTTGATGGTGATCTTCAAAGGGCCAAGTTTTCATACATTCCATTAGAACCAGAAGAATGCTAGACATTTACTTAAGAAAACTTAAAAAACTTGAGATTCTCATATAGTCCCACTAGAAGATTTACCTGGTGTTGCCAAGATCTGGTTCTGGAGGGTGGGCTGGCCTGGAGCTGGGGACAAGGGGAGGAGGACGGTGGTGTGGACCTGGCCTGGGATTAAGGGTGCTTAAAAACATACCAACAACAAAAATCACAAACACATTAGAATCATAGGAATTGTCAGCATTGCTTCCCCCAAGAAGTTTACAGTAGTTTGTTTTCTGAGCATTGTATAATATTAATACATAATACCCAATTTCTACCATCACTGAATTTCAAGCATTTTACAGAACAGTATTGGGAACTGTTATCCCAATTTTAGAGATGGAGAAACTGAGGCATGAGGAGCTGACGTGAGTTGCTCACGGTTATCCAGGATAGTGGGTTTTTTGTTTGGTTTTGGAATAGGTCCAACGAGGGCTCAGAGTCATTTGTAATCCACTTATGTTTGCATGGGGCAGGCTCAGTAAGTCTACATGCTGGAGATGAGATGGGAGAAGAAATGCAGAAGCAAGGGAGCAAGGTGGTGTCTTGTATGGGCTGAAGAATCCTTACCCCTTCCAGGTTTCAAAGAAAGGGAAGTTTATTTTTTCAAGTGAATACACACACCCACACTTGTACCTAAATCTACTATATATTTGAGAGAGTTTGTGTGTCTCTCAGTCTGTTCAAGAATTTCTCCCTAAACTGTAACAGCTAGGACCATCAAATTTGGTATGCAGCTTCCTCTTATAGCATAAAGCAAGGTAAGGATTTGATTGTGCCAGGACAATGGGGTTTACCTGGAATGTGACTGTTTCTAATAAAATGGAAAGGAAGGGCACTGCTAGCAGGGACAATTATACTGTGTGATGACCACAAGGGAGCAGCAAGGGGCCAGAATGGGGACAGCTGGGAGGGGCTGGGATAGTCCTCTCTTCCTGGGGCAGGTTGCATTCTGAACCTTTCATCCCCAACTGTACCCCAGAGCAATGACTTAAATGAAGAAAAACAAAAATGGAGGTAAGGACCCGAGCAACACCAGGTAAATCTAGTTTGGGAATAAAAGAAAAAACAAGGGAAGGTTACTGTTGGACTGTTTCCAAAGTTTTGAAATGTGAAACAAGAATTGCAACAGGGATGGATTAAAAAAATCTTGATCTTCTAATGTATTGGTCTGCTATATCTCAGGCCTGGTCTACACTTACAATTCAGGTCCACATAGCTACCTTGCTCAGGAGTGTGAAAAATACATTGAGTAACATAACCATACCAAACTAACTCCCAATACAGATACAACTTAATCAGTGGAAAAATGCTTCCATCAAGCTGGTGACCATTGCTCGTAGAGGTGTATTCATTCCTGCATTGACAGAAAACCCCTTCAGTCACTGTTGACTGCCTCTACAGTTCAGGTTCTGGCAGCATAGCTCTACCTGTGTAGCCCTAGTAGCACAGACATTCCCTCAAGTATCCCCTTCCTAAACCTGCTATCCCAAGGGTCTCTTCCCTTCTTTAAGATGAAAGGAAAAATGATGGGCTGACCACACTTCCAGGGGAAACTACCACTTCTCATGCCACCAGGATGGAAAAAGTCTTTAGGCACTTAAATTGAGAAATGAATTACAGCTTCTGCTTTAATTTCTTATATACAGCACTTATAAGTAACAACTGAACTAATATTGAGATGAAGTGATACCAGGAAACTCGTGAGTTCTTTGTTTGAAAATGTTAATGAAAACCCAGAGAAGATATATTCTTTTTCCCCTTCCTTAGTGAGTTCAATAAAACAATGGGGCTGTCTCTACACTGGCGCAATCTTGTGCAAAAGCGGATGCTCTTGTGCAAAAACTTGCTGCCTGTCTACACTGGCTGCCGCGTGTTCTTGCACAAGTAAACTGATGTTCTAATGTATGAAATCAGGGCTTCTTGCGCCAGAACTCTGATGCTCCTGCTCAGGAATAAGCCCTTTTGCGCAACTGTTCTTGCGCAAGAGGCCAGTGTAGACAGGCAACATGAATTTCTTGTGCAAGAAAGCCTTATGGTTAAAATGGCCATCAGCTCTTTCTTGCGCAAGAGAGCATCTACACTGGCATGGATGATCTTGCGCAAAAGCACATGCCAGTGTAGACGCTCTCTTTTGGAAGACTTTTTGCAGAAGTCTTCCGCAAAAGAGTTTGTGTGAGAACGTGCCAGTGTAGACGTAGCCCCTGGATGTTACATTATTAACCTTTACTTAAAATGAGAGATCCTATAAATGCTACAGTTAGTTGAATTACATGGATCATATGCTCAATGTGTGTGTGCTCCTTTCAGCTCCCTCCTCAGTGACTAAATAAGTAACTGGATTTTGTGGGTGTATGTTAAAGGTCTCAGCCACATCCCACTGTATGACATAAATAAGGTCCAAATGGCTGATGAGAATATGGCTTTGAATGGCCATTGTTCACACCCTTGTATGGTACCCAGTCATCTTACGTTGTTTTAGAAATGTGCATCTGTCTATCTGTCCAAGTCCATCTGCTCAAGAACTCCTAAACAGTAACAGTGAGGACCACATTTGATATGCAGCTTCCTCCTATCATAACAAAGCAAGGTAAGGATTTGGTTGTGTGAGGATAATGGGATGTGCCTGGAATTTGAATGTATTTCATAAAACAGAAAAGGAAGGACCTTGTAGGAGGAACAGTTATTCTGTAGAATGATCAGAGGGACAGCGAGGGGCCAGAGATGGGGACTGGGATAGCTAGAACTCCATTGTGCCAGGAAGGGGCAGGGGGGAGAAAGGGACCACTATCTACTATATATTTCAGAGAGTTTGTCTCTTTGTGTGTCTGTCTGTGCCCTAGGCAGAGGAAATGTCCCCCCACCCCCAACAGTGCCCACAGCAACTGCATTGGCAATGGAGAGGCACTTTTTACTTGGCCCCATCCTGCTATGGTGAAAGAGGGCTGGGGTTGTCTTCTCTTTCCAGAGTAGCCTGCATACTGATCCCTTCATCCTCAGCCTCCTCCAGAACAATGATTTAAATGAAAAAACAAAACCAAGAATCAGGCAGATCTTCTAGTAAGAAGATATGAACAGACCAAAGGTCCATCTAGCCCAAGATCCTGTCTTCTGACAATGGTCAATGCCAGGTACCCCAGAGGGAATGAACAGAACAGGGAATCATCATGTGATCCATCCCATTGCATATTCTCAGCTTCTGACAAACAGAGGGTAGGGACACTATTCCTGCCTATGCTGGTTGATTGTCCATCAGTGGCTAGCCTCCATGAATTTATCTACTTATTTTTTTGACCTTGTTAAAGTCCTGGTCTTCACAACATCCTCTGGAAAGGAGTTCCACAAGTAGACTGTCATGTCTGAATAAGCTTGTAAGGTCGGCTTGTAAAAAGAGTATTCTGTATCCTGCAGTGAAGTGTAATGAGTCTGTGCTGCATTGTGTTCTGCTCCTGTTGAAAACATTAGCCTACTCCAATAATGAAGAAATGTAATTAATGAAGTTTATCAGACTATAAAAGAATTTTATAACAGTGAGGAATTAAGGTTTTCTTCCCAGTAATTGTTTACATTTATATACTAGTAAAATATTCTATAAATCAATATAAAGTATTAATTTTGCCTTTGGAAACATGGTAATGGATATTTGAAATGGATGACATTGTACAATGAAGGAGTACAAGTTATTTTTCCAGGTTTTGAGTACTAAGCTAATTCCCCTCATACATGCACAGTATTTTTTCCAAGCAGGATGCTCACTCTGCTTAAAAGTGGGCAGACTGGACATCTAAGTAAAAGGAGAAAAAGTATGTTTCACAATTAA